CATGCGTTGCTCCAAGTTACTCCAGGTGAAATTTTGGTCCAGTGCAATAAAAGTAACTCATTATAGACAGCAAAAAAGCAGGAGGAAAGCGAACAGAAAAATGGGAAACAACTTCCAGTATAAAGGCTCTTCATTTTGTACCAGTCCCTTGAGTATTCCCTAATTTTGTGATAATGAAGGTATTCTAGGATTGCAAGCAGCAAAGGTGAAAATACTGAACATGGACCAATGTCACTAGAGGTGGTAGATTTTCACCCCTGGCTCTCAGCGTCGGTGTGGTTTACCCAGGATACAACTATTTGCTGAACAAGTTATTGTCTCCACACATGAACTGAGGCAACAGGATCTTGGCCAGATGGATGGAGCCCTGATTGTTTGTTCCTCTGGGTGGAATGTGGTCCTGCCCTGCAACACGTCTGCAGCCTTATTGCTTTAACATCTTGGAATAAATAGTCTGAAATGAGCGCTAACCCCGCGTAAACAACGACGCCGTGGTCCTCACAAACCTCCTGTAAAATGACAGCTCGAGCTGGGTTGGATGCGTTCCTCCAAGCTGATTTATTGTGAAAGGTGAGCTTCTGAGTAAAGGTCTCACCCCTGAAAAACCAGTGGCATTTTGCCTCTGTTTTGGAGAAGTGCACAGAGTTAATTTATTTGATATTTAAGAGATTAAATACGTGTGTGAGTCTCTGCAGGACTGGGACAGGAGATTGTGTGCAGCTTCAGGGCGCACACCGTTCGATGGTACTGACTGCACCTAGCCAGGTGAGGTCCCTTTCCTCATCAGGGACATCTAAATGCTGTTCCCATGTCTATTTTCAGTAACATTTTGGCTGTGTGCTGAAATACTTTGGCCTATGCCTATAAAAAAAGTATATTAAGACTGCCACATCACTGCCTAGGGCTTGGATGTCCAAGGTCCACCTCCACAGTCCCCTGGCTGTGTCCTGCCTGGGTTGTGACCAGAGTGCTGGCCTCAGCTAAGGAGATAGAAGCTCCTTCCCTTGGTCATTCCGTGGTTTTTGGGGATGCCTCAGGTGGCTGAGGAGCCACACACCACCCAGCAAGGGCACCCTGAAGCATGGGGTGAGACACAAAGTATCTCCATCAGTCCAGGGAAAGCAAGCATCTTCCTGCCGCGTTTCTCGAAGGATTTTTCTCCATGAATTGGCTTCTGCCATGTGAGGCAGTGGGCATTGGTTTCCCAGCTGGATTCTTCATCTTTCTACCCGTCCGTTTTATATTTTATAAACCTATATAGGGATCATTTTACAACTTCACTTTTATAATCTGCCCCATAAATATTTTACGAGCTGCCTGCCAATCTGCAAGTAGTTTTTAAATAAGACATGATGCCTTAAGAATATTTAAAGTCTCACTTTTTTTTTCCTCTGATACTTTTATTGAAAAACACAGAGCTGTGCAAGGAAGACATCTGCTTTCTAGATACAGAAACTGGGACAAATCCACAACAGGAGTAAATGAGCTGAAATTCAGGTGTGCTGCTGAATTATATTAACTCTTTGGTTGAGTGTCTCCTGCTTAGTGGGAAATGAAGCGAGCCTCAGGATCTTTATGCTTTTGCTGTACGTGATGTAGAAAAGATATAGGAAATCTATGGTTTGTACAATGACAATAAACTAGAGAATGAGTCTTCCATCAGGAGGCTTTTGACTCGCAGCTTTTCCAATAAATATTAAGAGCAAATGCACATGCAGAAATGGATTATTTCACAAACAAGTGGGAGCTTTTTCTTCCTCCAAAATATATTGCAAAGCCACAATATTTAGATACTTTTATCTGCCGGTAGGATTCACGTAGTGAATCAGGACTGTTAACTTGAAATAGCAGATTTTTATGAGATTTAGTTGGGGAAGAAAGGAGGAAAAACTGCTTGTGTGTGTTATTTAAATCACCTGAAGGTCAAGAAGGGCAGAAACGTGGTTTAGCCCCAGTCAGCGTGAACATGGCTTGTTTCTCTGGGTAGTTTAGGAAAGTGAGCGTGCGAAGGGCACAAGTGGTTGCAACAGGCAGATTTCTCAGCAAGCTTTGTTCGTGGTGCCAAACTGTTGCTGGAGAGTCCCAGTCCACTAGCTGCCATTTCGCTTTGGCGTGTCTTGTCAAGGCTTGCTTTAACGATGCTCTGGGGGTCCCAGAGCCTCATTTCGTATGCTAATGTGATGTGCTGCTGTATGCGTTACCCAGCTCGAGAGAGGGGGACAGCTGGAGCCAACTGGTTTGCATTGGCCCTTTGAGTGTGTCCCTGGGCGGTAAAACAAGGACCATTGTGCATCAAGGTGCACTTGGATCACTGGACACAAGCTATGGCATGTTTCCCATTTCTCTCTTCTCCCTCTTTATAGTTGAAGAATCAGGAGAGGCGAGCAGTAAAAGGGATAACGTTAGAAAAGCTTACTTATAGGTGAAATACTCCAAACCTGAGGAAGAGACGAAAGCATTTGCTCTAAAAGGCAAACAGAAGAAATCTTGTACATGTGCATTTGGTAGAAGGATGAATTGAAACATCTGTGTATTTTTAAAAGGAAAATCGAATTATATGCCTCAATCCAGACAATTACTTCTGCGGAAAACTGATGTAACTTTTGGCAAGTTGCAGCAGAAAAAATTGGGGTTGCCAGAAGTGGGAATTGATACTGATACTCCTATCTCTAGTTTATATACTTAAAGGAGGAGGCAGTATGATGAAGAAGGAGAAGAATCCGTTTTCACCCAGGAATTGTGAACACCAAAACACGCTTTGAAATGACCAGGTTCTCCACGTACACCTAGTGCTTAGTTAATTGGAGTTAATTAGGCAGGACTCCATCTCAGGAAATGGCACTGCTGCTGCTAGAGCAATGCGGCGAGCACCGACACGCGGGGAACTGAGCCATGTCTCCGTGCACCTCGTTGCCGCTCTCATGGGTTTTGCATTCGGAGCGTGATGGTCTCAGCTTGGTTGCTGCTGCTGAAATCGTGCCCAGCATGGAGAGCCTGGTTGTTTATCAAGTGCAACTCATTTACCTCCCTGCCTGTGCCCCCAGACCACCTGTCAGCCTCCTCCCTTGTCTTCTGCACCTTGTCTCAATCCATTCCCTTGTGCTTGCACAACCTTTGCAGTCTGTTTTTTCCTCCTCTCCCCTTGGCACAGGTCTCCCCTCCTTCCCAAGGTAAGCTTGCGTGCCTGCTCCCCTTCCCCGGAGTAACCCCAGGAGCTCATGTTGCTTTTCCCCTCCTCGACCCACTGGTGTCCAGCTCGGCGGCGGTGTGAGCATCCTGTCACGTTGGGGCTTTTGTTTGTACTGGTGATTGCTTCGCAAAGCCGGTGCCAAAATCCTGTAGCCGAAAGGCTGCTTGGCCCCTTGCATCCAGGCAGACAGCAGTTCCCTGTAATGGGACTTCACGCTGAGGGCATGTTTCACGCAGATGCCTATTACTGCCTCCTCCTAATTGCAGTTTTGTTTCTGCTAATCGTATGCTCCTCCTTGCTGCGAGTGATGCTGGAGCGCTCGCATCCCCCTCTCTCAAAAATCGTGGGCAATGGAAGAGAAGACTCCCAAGTTTCTCAGCTTTAAGGGACTTCTTGGTAACCTGAGGTTTCCTTTGCGGTGTGCCAGCTAGCCACCCCACTGTGCAATGGCTGGCGTGCAGGTGTCTGTTCCAGGTTTTTCGCTCTACCAAGCAGTGTCTCTCTGTCTCATGTCCATGTGGCTTGCTTTAAGGATGATCTAGTTCCTGTATCCAGTTGTCATATCAGGTCCTTGGAAAGACTGACATATATATGTGCATCACACATATGTCATCCATATTTTCAAATGTATATATATGTGCTTATAGAGCAGTTCTCCTTGCCTCTGCAATTACTCTGTGGCTTCCTACATGGTTATCTAAGTGAAGCAGGTCTCAGAAATGCCACCAAAGCAGCCAATTAGTGCTTATGCAAAACATCACCTAGAGAGCCAGCGAGAAGAGAAGGGTGAGGGACGTGTCAGGGGAGAGCAGACAAAGACTAATAGGACGATGCCCTGGGGGAGATGCAACATCCATATGCCTGTGGCTGCAACTCCGTGGTGGGATTCAGCAGCATGCTTGCACTTGCCTGATGCTAATGTGGGAGCAAGATAGGTGAGACAGTGACTGCGTGCCACCTCCCATCTTTATTGCTGCTGGGCAGAGGGGATTGCATGAATGGTAACTCCCCTGTGTAGGACAGGAGATGTGCAGGAAGCCCCATCAGAGCCAGGAATACATAGGAGACCCTCAAAGGCAGTGAGGCGACAGGTTTTGGGTTTTTTAAGCCATTATTTTGCATGTGTATAAGGTGTTCATGTTTACACAAGGCTGTTTTTCTAAAGTATCAAAATTTAAAGTTCTGTGCAAATGCCCAGTGGAGCATGCGATACATACAACATGGTGCCTGCAAAAGCTCTGCGGTCCAGGAGATCTTGCTTCTGCGATTCTAATGTTTCATCCCATTCCCCTTCCATCGTCCTTCCTGTTCTTGCTTTTTTTTTTTCTTCTTAATAGCTGAATTAGATGTGTGGTAAAGTGGAGTTGTTCAGAAGCATCCGTGGGATTTGGAAACACAAGTCCAATTGAAAATCAGTGGGCCTTGGGCCCCGAATCCCGTTAGGGAAATTGCAAGTGGTTTGATGAGCTAAAACTGGGACACCCATTCCCCTTCCATCGTCCTTCCTGTTCTTGCTTTTTTTTTTTCTTCTTAATAGCTGAATTAGATGTGTGGTAAAGTGGAGTTGTTCAGAAGCATCCGTGGGATTTGGAAACACAAGTCCAATTGAAAATCAGTGGGCCTTGGGCCCCGAATCCCGTTAGGGAAATTGCAAGTGGTTTGATGAGCTAAAACTGGGACAGCAGCAATCCAGCCGCTAGAGAGGCTGGATTCGTCGCTGCTCTGGGTTTTTGTGCTGTGTGTGATTTGCAGTAAAGAGCGAGGTTCTGCCATACCAGAGACAAAAACACTCTTCTGGTTTCTCTTCCAGGCGATGTGGCTATAGCAAGGCTAAACAAGATCCAGAAGAAGAAAAGATGCATTTTCATAACGGCCACAGTGAGTAAAGATCAAACACGTGTATGTGCGGTTTTGGATCTCTGTGGTAATGAGAAATACAACTGACAGGATTTTTTTTTTTTTTTTTAAAAAAAAATAATTCTGGTTTTGCTGGTAATTCACAAAACAACTGTTTTTTTCTGTTATTCGGTAAGTCCCCACCTGCTCCTGCTCTAAGCCTCAGAGAGAACTGAATGTTTGAACAGTTCTTACACCAGCCCAGCTGTTGACACCTGTACGTTTGCAGCAGATCTCTCTGGAAAGCCATTTTGTTCTCTTTCTCTGTCTTTGCTGCGGGACCCAAGGTGTTATTAGTTTTTGGCTGGACAGCACGTAACAACTCTACATTTTGCAGGCTGGACGCCTCAGTCCAGACTACCTGTTTGAAACCTTTACTCCACCCCAGCCAGCCATGAGGACCAAGCCCACAGCTTCTCTTTGCCTTGGACACCTCTGCGGAGGCGTGAGGAATAACACCTGCTTCTTGCTCCTAGGAAGCTTTCAGAAATGCTGTGTTAATGCCCTTATCTTCAAAAAAAACCTCTGCAGTGATGCTAGAAAGTGCATCTCATGGTTACTATCAGTCCTTCTGTACATCCGAGGCCAGTGTTGGAAAAGCCTTCCTTTGTCAAGTGCCGTGGGATCTGAGGATGGGTGACAGCGAGGTGCCTTTTCGGGTGGAAAAGGCAAACACGTCTTGAGTGAAAGTCAAATTTCCATTAATGCTATGTAATGAAGGCAGCAGGAAGCAAATCAATTAAGAGCCACAGTATAATGTAGCTGTCCTATTAGACTGATGAGCAGTTCTTCATGTGAGTAGCCTTAATGATTGTCAAAACAAACTTACAATATGGATAATGAAAATACTTTTTCCCCCCTCTCAAATCCTGGAGAAAAAGCCTGCTATTGATTATATTTATACTGGTACAACCCACAGGCTTTGTGCTGCAAATATTCAGTTCATTTCAATCTCAGTAACTCCATCTGAAATAACGCGGCCGATTGATTAGCTAATATGTGACTGGGAGGGCATAATTTATTGCAGCTCTCCATCAACCCCCGTGCATCCAACTTGCTTTGCAAGTTATTCCCTTAACGTTTTGCTTTTTGTACTTTTCTCCTGGCATACCCTTTCCCCATCCAGAAAGGGATCCTTTTGCACCAGACCCCATTGCACAGCACCAAGAGGGATTTTTAGCACATCGTTCCAGTTGAGCACTATCATGTGCTTTTCCAAATATGATGAAGTTGCACGTATGTCACATGTAAACCAAATGCCATTTTCTATGACTGTTACTCATTTTCCTCATAGAAACAGGTTTCCCTGCTGCAATGTTTTCCAGCAAAGCAGACTGCAAGGGACAAGCGTGCGTGTTGCCCATCTTCTGTCATGTCCTGTGCCATTAATGCTCTTAATTTGTGTTTGCAGTTAAGCTGCCTGGAGTAAGGACCTACATTGACCCCCACACCTATGAGGATCCTAATCAAGCTGTCCACGAGTTTGCTAAGGAAATTGAAGCTTCCTGCATAACCATTGAAAGAGTTATCGGAGCTGGTACGGAAATGCATTTCATGACCCTTAGCAGCATGGAGGGTTGGCTTCCTTAACACGAGAGATCTGGGAAGGGCTGGGAAGTATTTGTGCTGTTAGGTACTCTGCAAGGGATGGACAGCATGTTCCAGCTGAAGTTTGGGACAAACCTGTCATTGTCTGCAGTTTTGAAATTCAGGGACTGATCTGAAAACAGCAGAAAAGGATAACTTTTGGACCAAGCTGAGTTGTTTCAATGGATGTTAAGGGAAATGATTAATTTTCAAGTTCTTTTCACTGTTTTAACCTTTTTCTCCTCCTCCATTAAGGTCAGTCTCAAAGCAAAAATTAAGAATAAAAAGTCATCTGGGAGAGAAAAAAAGCACAAACCAAAGTCCAAAGCCTTTCACTTCCTTGGTTAAGAGAAGAAACTCCCATTTTCTTTCCAGTTAAACTGTTTGTTTGGACTTGGATCCAACCTTAGGAATATTTTCTATCCTCTGAAATTGTGTTTTTGGAGGTAATTTACCGTTCACCAGAAGAAAAAAAAGAATCCATTTGGGTTACTTTTTTAAAAAGGCAGTCATAAAATTGGAAAGGGTTTATAGTCTATAAAAATATATGTTGCTGTGAAAGGCTAACAGCATTCCATCTATGTAACTTAACAAAGGAAGGTTAAGAAGCAAGTGGCTTGTGTTTTACAGCTATCTACACAGGGCAATGATATAGGATGTGACAGGACTCTTTCATCTAGTAGACAATAACACAAAATGAGGAAAAAGCCCAATAGAATATACAGCATAGCTCTTTAAATATAGGAAAATTACATTTTTCTTCCTGGTTTTCTTGTGCTTATGAATTTCTCAGCTTGTACACTGGCTATTTGAGATTGGTGATTGCTGTGATGTTCAGCTTTCCACATCCTTGGATATGGGACAGCCCTGCGTGCCTTTGATCAGCTATCTATAGGGGCTGCGTGCTGTTGACGGACGTGTGCCATGCGTTCCTTCGACACGCCGTGACCCCTTTCTCGCTGATTTTTCTCTGAAGGTGAATTTGGGGAAGTCTGCAGTGGGCGGCTGAAGCTGCAGGGAAAGCGTGAATTCCCGGTGGCTATCAAAACCCTGAAGGTGGGCTACACGGAGAAACAGAGGCGAGATTTCTTGGGAGAAGCAAGCATCATGGGGCAGTTTGACCACCCCAACATCATCCACCTGGAAGGCGTCGTCACAAAAAGTAGGTACAAGTTGCTGTGGACTGATGTCCTTGAGCTCTGGCTGATGGGAGAGTTGGTATGGGGAGGAAGACTCAGGTAACTCACGTTTTGGCTGCACCTTTCATAATTTGTCAAAAACCAGTGAACTTCCCTTGCCCGAAATGTCACACTTTGTAGGTCCAGCCAGAAACACGTTCCCCAACATTGTAAAGGGGATTTGTGCCCGAAGGATTTTGGCATTCTTTCAGCTAGAACGGATCGATAATGACTAAAATGATAAAAAATGTTAACTCCCTCTGCAAACCTTGCCTCACCTAAGCATAATGTGCTTGGGCTAAGAGAAAACCTCTCTTCAAAGGCCCCAAATTAAATGAGACAGAAATAGGAGATGATGTGCCTGGCCAACCTCAGGCAGCGGGTGGGTGCCGGAGGTGACGGGCTTGTCGGAATGCCGGCGGAGCGTGCTGCCTGACTTCCAGCAGCACCTACCGCCTGGAAAATGCAAGAGCATTTTGCACGCAGTGATGCTGAGCCACCCGCTAAGTTTGTGGAGCAGGTTCTCTTCTCATTCCTGCCTTTGTTTGCTTTCGAAACCACAGGAGCCCCAGGGTGAGCAAAGATGTGCCAGGAAGTGCGAAGCGATTTCCCTGGCAGGGAAATGAGGAGGATTGTGCTACCAAGCGTCTGGAAAAATTAAAAAAAAAACCAACAAACCACAACCCCTTGATGATTTTCCAGCCTTCATATTTTGAGAAACCGCTGAAGCAAAGCCTGCAGGAGGGTAGCCTTGTGATGGCTCACACGGGATGTGAGCAAGGACAGAAGTTAGCTGAAATTTCCCTTTCCAGAAAGCAGGGAAGAAGAACGAGAATGTAGCTGAAGATGACAGGCCTGTGTAAAGTCACAGTTAAGGCACTAATGGTAATAGTTGCCCCTGGTGCTGGCATATAGATTATGAGAGGGGTTGAGGGCTTGGGGAAAATGTGAAATGGCTGGCAAAACATCCCAGCGCAAGAGTGACTGCTCAGTTAGCAAAAACAACCTTCCCAAACTTTCCCAGCCCAGTACTTCTCCAAATGACTGTATGCACTAAAGATAAGGGCAGAGGAAGGGACGGCACATCCGAATGTGCCCAGCCCAAGCCTCTCCGGCTGTTGATGTCGTGCTGAGGCTGTGGGAAAGGTGTAGAGGCGTTCTCACTCTTCCATTTTAAAGCCTTGGAGGATCTACATTATTTACATCAAGGATATTTTTGTTGAAAACAACCGCTCCTTTATTTTGAGATATATTTTAAGGGTTTTGGGAAGCTCCTGCTAGCTGAAGAAGCACTAGCCTCGTAAGAGTGAATGGCTGTCTCCCCTCTTGTTTTCATAGAATCATAGAATGGTTTGGGTTGGAAGGGACCTCAAAGATCAGCTAGTTCCAACCCCCCTGCCATGGGCAGGGACACCCTCCACTACACCAGGTTGCCCAAAGCCTCATCCAACCTGGCCTTGAACACTTCCAGGGACGGGGCATCTACAACTTCTCTGGGCAACCTGTGCCAGTGCCTCACCACCCTCTGAGTGAAAAATTTTTTCCTTATATCCAATCTAAATCTGCCCTCTTTCAGTTTAAAGCCATTGCCCCTTGTCCTATCACTACATGCCCTCAGAAGAAGTCCCTCTCCAGCTTTCCTGTAGGCCCCCTTTAGGTACTGGAATGATTGGTGATGTCAGGGCTTAGCTACTACCATTCAAATGCCAGCGTCTCGGGCCATGTGGCTACTGTTAGTACCATTTGTCATTCATCAGAGGCAGCATCTCCAAAATTAGTCCTTTTTCAGAGCTGCAATAGTGAAGGCACAGAGATGCTAGCTGTTTGTCCTGTTCGTATCCTTATAACCTACTCAAAATCAATGCAGTTTTGCAACCATCAGCCTTTTCTTGCATTTTTTCTTGAAATTGCATTCCTTAGAACTGTTAAGAAACGACAAAAAATAACCAAGGAGGGGTAATTTTTATATTTTGGGGTTATAGGTTTCTCCCAAAAGTTGAATAAATATCAAAATCTCTCGAGGTCACCTTGTGTAGCCCTTAATACATAAAAGCTCCCATTTCTAGCCCTGCAGGGATGTGGGATATTGGGCAGGAAGCGAGTGCTGATTATACATCCATAAAAGCTGCTGCTGTCACGGGCTTGAGTCTTTCTGGCTGCCGGAGCCTCAGGGGATGGGTGGGAATCCCACTTTTAGAGAGGATGTGCCTCTCGAGCGAGCTGCCTTTCATATGAAGTGGCCGTCTGCTCCAAAGGTCGTGGAAACGCTGGGAGCTTTGCTTCTAAATTGGGCTTGGAGCGACTGAAGTTTGGATGCAGGGGTGTACGTGCACCCTGAGCTCCTCATTGGCTCGGTGAATGCTTCTTTACTGCATTCAAAATTTTTTCCATCAGGCATCTGGAGCCTCTTCCCAGCTTTTTTTCTGTTCTTTTAAATGGACCAAAACAACCTTTATGAATCTCAAACTATGCTGCTATCTCAAAGTATTGTTTAACTTCTTTTTCCCTTCAGTATTTTAGTCATTGGCCTATTGTAGATTCGGACCTTTAGGGTAAAACATCTTTGCTGCATCATGATGTACTTTGGAAGTAAATTCAGTTAAATTGAATTAGGCCATTTTTAATTCTGAATGAGAATATCCGGGCAGAGGCTTAATACCACTTAACTCATCTAGTTCAAATGCACACCTTAGTTAATTTGGATTAATCGTCTTCATTGCCTCCGTGCAGAAAAGCCCTTGGCTATTTCTGCTTTGCAAAGGTAATGACTGGGCTCTTCTCCTTCCCATCTCGTTTGGGCGCTCATGGTGGGCACGTTGCATTAATGCTTTGGCATGAATGACATCTACCCACATTTTGTGGCCCTGTAATGCCAGCAGGAGGGAGCCCTGCTGGCACGGAGCATCAGCCCAGCGCTTTAGAAAGCCGATGTTTACTTTTAATTTACTTTGTTGAAAGTTACTCTATTTGTGTCTTCATTTCCATGCTCTTCGATATGGGGCTAATTTATTCCACGATTACTGTCAACCTGCAGCAGTCAGATAATGAAACATAAGTGCCAGAAATTTTATTTTCTTTTCTCTGATGGCAACCAAAGGCAGGAGTCTGAAGGAGGTCCCCCGGGGTGGTGGCATAACGAGATGCCAGTCTTGCTGCAACGCTGCCTTGAAGTGTTAGAAATAAGGGACCCCATGCTACAGTCGGGGGTTTAGTGTTTAAAAATAAGAAACTGAAAAAAAATTGAGATATACCTGGGATTTGCCTTCCCTGCATAGCCACTGACATGTTTGCCAACCTGTAGCAGCGTCACTCGAGATCTCTCTTCCCTCCTGCATGCCACCCGTGTTGTATGGAGACACACGGCTGTCATTCTTGGAGATGGGGCCCATTATTTTGTGTGGGATATTTTTCGTGGCCCTGAGGTGTGTTTCTCGTATCAAAAATACTCCTTTTGGCAAGCTTCGAGCTCGGGAAGTAGCTGTGATATCAACTTAAAAGAACTGAAGCGACGCAGGTCCCTCAGGTTGCAAAAGTAGTATCTGCACAACAATCACTGTTTTGATTGACAAGTTTACAATTACCTTTATTATGTAGATAATTAAGCAGTAAATTAGGCAAATAGGTAAGGTAACAGGAAAGTGGGAAGATTAAGACCAATCTAAGTGGGAGCCCATGGGCTGATTTGTAGGAGCGTTTACCTTCACACGCATGTTGTGACATGCGGCAGCTCTCGTTGATCATTTCTACGAAAGACATTTATAATGCACTTTACAAATAATTGACAGGTCCTCTTTTGTCTGTGCTTCGTGCTAGCTAATGGAAATTGATTTAAATAAAAAATAATTTACATGTTCTTATAAGATTTCATTGAATTTACAAGGACTGGAGCACACCACATTAATTATTGCTATGTCATTGTGGCAAGCTAGCGAGAAATTAGATATAAAAACTGAGCAAAAACTATATATAATTACCATTAAAATGACTCGGGCATGAAAATTAATCAAATGGATTTGGAAAAACATTATTATTCCTGTCAACAATAGGAGACCAAGTCTTTTGTTAAGAACTTTTATTTTGATTTCCACTCTCACTCTTTCGATGCTTAACTCGCTTTTGTTCTGCAGCATAAATATTCCTTTTCTTACTTCCAGATGTGTTTACAAGGGTAGTCACATGGGATTACTTGAATTACAAGGGATGTAATCCCATCCTTTCCTGGTCTTGGTTTTGGTGGCTACCAAGCTCGGCTACTTCAGATCATCCACGTTGCTCCTGTTGGGCTCCTGTTGCTATTTCGGAGTGTTGAAGCTGTAGGAAAGAGTCCAAAGAAGTAGCTGTGTACAGTTTGGCCTCTGCAAGCTTTCAGCTTGTTCACAGAGATGAGGAGAAGGTTGTGCATAGCTTGCCTGGATTTGGCTTGCAACTTCTTCCTCAAACATAGAATCATAGAATGGTTAGAGTTGGAAGCGACCTCAAAGATCATCTCGTTCCAACCCCCCTGCCATGGGCAGGGACACCCTCCACTACACCAGGTTGCCCAAAGCCTCATCCAACCTGGCCTTGAACACTGCCAGGGATGGGGCATCTACAACTTCTCTGGGCAACCTGTTCCAGTGCCTCACCACCCTCAGTGTGAAAAATTTTTTCCTTATATCTAATCTAAATCTCCCCTCTTTCAGTTTAAAGCCATTGTCCCTTGTCCTGTCACTACACACCCTTGTAAAAAGTCCCTCTCCAGCTTTCCTGTAGGCCCCCTTTAGGTACTGGAAGGCTGCAATAAGATCACCCCGGAGCCTTCTCTTCTCCAGGCTGAACAGCCCCAACTCTCTCAGCCTGTCTTCATCATCTGAAAACTCTAGCACTTGGTACCTTACCCGTAACTCATGCGTACTTTTTCATTCTCTCCTACTCGATCCCCCTATTTCTACATATATTCTGGCAAAAGCTGTTGTCATTCTTCTGGGACAGCAGTGTCTCAGTGTAGATTTACTGTTGCATGGCTGTATGTTCACATTCAGTTGCATTACCTAAAGACTTTATTATTGTTCATGCTTTTTTAAAAAATTGCTAACAAACTCATGTACTTTTTTTCCAGGCAAGCCGGTAATGATAGTGACTGAGTACATGGAGAATGGTTCTCTAGATACATTTTTAAAGGTAATACTTGCATCCTTTTTCCAGGAGGACCTTGGTTGAAGTTTGGCTTCTTTGCAGATGGTTAATGTCAGTGAAAATGTTTGCTGTGTGCTAGTCCAGCTGTTGATGCTGTCTGGAGGCAGGAGTAGCTCAGTTGTCTGTTTGATCTATTTTTATACAGCATCATGAAGGACTTGGTTCGTGCATTGATAGAAGCAGATAAGAATAAATTGGAGGGTGTTATGTTTATTTTAGAAGGCAGTCTGCTGCATGGAAATGATTAGCTTATCTTGCAAAATTTGATGCGTTTCAAGAGCACATCCACACTGCGTCATGGCAAACCCCAGGACTTGTCAGAGTTTTTCCACGAAATGTAAGAGCCAGAGAAGGGAGGATAGAGGAAGTGGTTAGAAACGTGGTGTGGCAACATGAGGAAGAGCCCCTACCCCAAAACATTCACATGTGGACCTCTGCAGGTAGGATTTCCCTGCAACTTGGTGCCATTCAGTTGGCTGACTCGGAGACAGCCCACCCCAGTGCCTTTATACACGTAACTACATGTGTTCACTCCCAGTCATGGTCTCTCTATCAGTCACCAGTGGAAATAGCTCGCTCCTTGATCTCCAGTTAAAAGAACTACATTTCCTTAGCTTTGTCTCTAGAGATCCTAATCCAAACAGTGAAACTTGGAAAAGCTTCGTGGTCAGAGCATGAGAGTAATGAATTATTAATTTCCCTGTTTCTCTTCCCCAGGGACTTACCTTTGCATTTTTATTCATGCTCACGCAACGCCGAGGGTGCAGAGACTCTCGGCTGATCAAACGTCTCCTTCCTTTTGCAGAAGAACGATGGGCAGTTCACGGTCATTCAGCTGGTCGGGATGCTGCGAGGCATCGCGTCAGGAATGAAGTACCTGTCTGACATGGGTTACGTACACAGAGATCTGGCTGCCAGGAATATCCTAATCAACAGCAACTTGGTCTGCAAGGTGTCAGACTTTGGCCTCTCCAGAGTCCTAGAAGATGACCCCGAAGCAGCGTACACCACCAGGGTGAGTTATGAGGGTACTGAACTGATTGAGCTCAAGAAAAATGTATTCCCTGCCACGTTTTGGTGTTCAGGCTCTCTAGCAAAGAGATTGCTACAAATCCAGAGCCTCTAAGTGCGCACAAGGGTTTGACCAGGTGTTACCAGTTAATCGTTGTCAGATTAATTTTGCAAATGCCTGTAACTTTCTAGTGGGGATGGTCACATACGGCAGAACCTGGCTAATAATTTTGAAGTCCATGTTGGGCACTTGAGTCAAATACCAAACTTCACAAAGGTGCTGTGCTCCCAGCTCTATTCTGTCCTCTTTGGTGAATACCAAAGGGAGGAAAGAGCAAGAGCAAGTGCTTTGCGTAGACATCCAAGCAGAGATGTTGGCCATGGTCTTCTGGATCCATTTGATCCATTTATAGGCTGCCCCAGGAGGTGGTTGAGTCCCCATCCCTGGATGTGTTTAAGAATAGGGTGGATGATCTACTTAGTGATATGGTTTAATGGGGATTAGGGACGGTTGGACTCGATGATCTCTAAGGTCTTTTCCAACCTAGAAATCTATGAAATCTATGAAAACAGTGGTAAGCGTGTAATGCCCTTTGCAAATGATGCACATTGCCCTCAACGTTACCCTGTTGAGGGTAATTTCCCCCAACTTGAGAAGGAGCTGCTCCAGCCTCAGCACTCTGCCCTTTTCCATCCTTGATCCATCCTTTTAGGGCATCAGCCAACCCATCCCAGTGCAAGGCCACGTGGCCCCGGCGCTGCAGAGAGGGGGTGGGCAGGACCCATCCTCAGCAGCACAGGCTTGGAGAGAGCCTCCAATAGCCATGGCAGTGATTGGCATCCCTGGATGTGTCCTATTAGCCTGTTTTTCCAAAGGTATTGTTTTACGGGCGGTTGGAGCTCACTGGGTCACGTTCCCAGTTCTCACGGAGATCTGGGAAAGGCCTTTCAGCTCTTGGCAGTCACGGCCCTGCGACGAGACTCAGTGCACGGCTGGACCGGAGCCTCCCTGCGGGCTGGAGGGCTCTTGGCCAGCCCTGCAACGTGCTGCCATGTGCTAATTGGCACTGCTGAGAATCTGGCCCGTCACTTAAGGCATGCGCTGATAAGCCTGTGAATAAATAATTATTGGAAGAAGGGACTTTTCAAAATTTGATTTGAAAACGTGTTCCGAATTCTACCTTTTTCCAATAACAAACACTGTTAGGAGGACATTCAGGAGACCTTCCAATATTTAGCTCAACACTGAGAGGAAGGGACTTTGTGGTAAAATATATTTTGATATAAATCAAGGGACACAATTCTTTAAAACCAACGAGAGAAGTATTCCTTAGTCCAAATTCCCCTTTCCCTTCCTCTTCCTTCTCAGAGCTGGGCTGAAGTTTGATTTCCAAAACAGTAGAAAGGGGAAAAGGAAGCAGCAAAGCACATTTGACAGCTGCAGCATCATTTTCCGTCCCGCCGCAGAGGCCAGCAGGCTGGTCTTTGCACACACAGATTTCGGTGCCTACTACGCAGATCTTTCTCCAGGATTGGGACCTCATTTTAAAAAAAAAAAAAAAAAAAGGCAAGCAAGGAAAAAAAAAGGCATTACTTCCACAGCAATTTGCATGAAGCCCTCGTTAGATCAAAGTCTTCCTTGGCTTCAGAGCTGTCTGTTCCTCCCCCGCTCGCTCTCAGAAACGGAGGAACTGTATTCCCCGACCAACCCCTGCAACATAATTGAGATGTTGATCCTATCCATGTCCCAGCATTCAAGCAGCATTCAAACAACAAACCTTCAGGACAGCCAATTAGTAGGCAGCCTACAAATGCTTATGGGCTGAGATAATGTGGAAAGGGGCCCCATGCTGTCAAACAGATTTACTTTAAAATTCGATGTCTCTTTCCAGAGAGAAAATAACATCCCTCCGTGCTCTAAGAAGTGCTGTTTCGTCCTTTTTTGTATGTTCTCTGCCCACCTCTGCAATCTGGTTTTGGGGATTTTTTTTTTTTTTTTTTTTTCCTTCTAGGGAGGGAAGACCCCCATCCGATGGACAGCACCCGAAGCAATCGCCTTCCGCAAATTCACATCAGCCAGCGACGTCTGGAGCTACGGCATCGTGATGTGGGAGGTGATGTCCTACGGCGAGAGGCCTTACTGGGAAATGACAAACCAAGACGTAAGCACGTGCGAGAGCTGCCGCGTGGTGGGACTGTGCGGGCTCGGCGTTCGTTCTGCAGAGAGACAGGATGGGGACCAGAGGAGGAGAGCTGCTGTAAAAATGGCTTTGCTCCCCCACGCCGGACAAAAACCATCTTCCCGTTTGATGCTCTTTTTTAGCAGCAGCAGCAGCCCAGAACGGGCTGGAAATGTGTCTGCACAGAGGCAAGCCTGCTTTCCCCAGCAGACTGCTGGAGCTTCACTAATGCTGTTAGAGCTGGAGCCTGTCCCTCCTCTGCTTAATGACAAAGGTCTGCCAGGGGATAGATGCTGATAACTGGCAGCGTTTCAATCGTGCGCTCAAACCCCTGCTGCCATGTAAAGCAGAAACTCGAGGGAGTCATGGTAAGAGCTTTGTTTCCCTGTACAAAAGCTGGGTGATTTGATCTAGTGACAGCAGTCCAGAGAGCTGCGTCGCAGTTGCCCTTGAGTTGCTGATCTCGAGAGCATAGTTTTGCTCCCGTTGTGAGCATCTTGTAAGACTGTGCTAACGCAAGCTCCCACGGTTTGTACAGCACCCTTCGAGTTGTGACTCCTTGCTCTTGGGCTCCAGTGTGCCCCTGAGCCTCAGACTTCAAGGCCACCCTCTGAGGCATCTCCAAACAGGGAGATGCCTGGGGACACTGTCCCCTCCTGACTGCAGCCCTGACCCAGCCTGTGAAAGGATGTCTTGATCCTACTGCAAGGCTACCTCCTACCCTGGGCTCACTGTAAACATCTGTCCTTGCCTAAGGCTAAAAATATTTAAGCCTGGGGTTGCCAGATTTTCTAGGCCACTCCTTCCTCTTCACATCCCTGAAAACCATGACGTTTGGAGGATGCCAGCTAGGACACAAGGTGGGGGTCACCATGAGGCATGTGGGGCCACCAAAGCAGCTCTGCTATGCAGGGAAAAAAACACACCAGTCTGCGTGGTCGTTCCTCATCCCTCCCACTTCATCTCTGCAGCCCTGCCGCCCACGGAGATGCCGCTGCAGGCTGGGCAAAGCAAGCAGGTCCTTGCTCCGCCGTGGGTTTCCTCTGCTCACAACACCTGATGTTTCATCCTTGTTTCTTTTCTGAGCAATGTCCTTGTCTGTGTGACTTTCTGCCGTTGCACTGGCTGAGCCTCCTGCTTCTCCTGTGTTTCGTCTGCGGGCCTCTGCCATCAGTGGATGTTACTACCTGTCACGCCGAGCTGCTGTCTCATCTCGCTTCGAGCCCAGGCGCAGAAATGAGCGGTACCTTTGAGGCAGTCACGCCATGCTTCTTGCCAGGGAGACGAACGCGTCGTTTGGCATGAATGCCCCGCCGCTTCTGCATTGCTGAGGCTGTCTCGTTTGCAGGGAGTTTGACAGAGCAGCATGTGTCCATGCAGGGATTTATCTGAATCAAATACAGAGACTTTCTTCCATAGCCTGTGCAGAGAATGCAGCAATTTGAGAGCCAAACTCTTTCGCTCACACCGAGCGCTGTAACTATCCTTAATGCTGATGCACTGGCACAGCACAGATGTTGTTCAGTAAATGCCAGGCTAAGATTCAGGCTGGTGCCAGTGAAGTAACGTTCCGTGGTCAGGGGAGTCCCTTGTCTGGATCGTAACGCCATGAACATCCACACATTGCAAAGCTGTTCTGAAAAGCCCAAATGTCTCCATGTGCTGAGGGGCACAGGGTGAATTTCACACTTGCCTGAGAAGAAGCAGAAAGCAGAGGATGAGTGAGGTGTTTATGAGCATCAGTTCCTGCGCAGGCTTTGCTTGCATTACCTCTCTGCCTATGTGCAGGTGGCAAGTGCCTGGATGCTGGTGGCCCAGGAAGCTTCATTCAGTGTTCTGGCATGTTCCTCATGCGATTTGTGCCTTCCTCCTTCATCTTCTGAAGGCCTCCCTCCTCTTCTTCTTTCCTCCCCTGCTTGTGTTGGCAGAGGAATTACTGGTGTTAGATACAGAGGCTTTCGTGCGGAGGACCAGGGGGCTCTGCTCACAAGAATTTCGGACTCCGTTGCGTGAGAGTTTCTTGTTGCATGGCTTGTAATTAAAGCACATAGTTTGCAAGCAGAGTCAGTGATGAGCAGAACTATTCTGGCCATGTTACATCTGGATTGCTTTAAAGGAGACGCAATACCGCAGGGCAGGCAGCGTTGTAACTGCAAAACCCCATGTTTTAAAGTCGTGCTGGTTTCTGGATGGCCTTCTGAAAACATGCTTCCACTCGGCCATGAGATAAGGCTTTGACGCAGGAATTGTTGAGAGGAATTTTGTGGCTTGGGTTACACAGGTTGCTAAGCTAAATGATCACAGTGGTTTCTTTTTAGTCTTCAGACTGATGGTTTTATGAAATCGCAGAGCTAAAAGTGTTGCTTTGGTTTACTGGAATAGACTATCCCAAATTGTCCTCTCCCAAACATTCAATTCAGTCACCCCACTCCGTAAGTGAGTAGTGCTTGTCCAGAAGAGGAACAGGGACAAAAATGCCTCCTTATAGGTGCCAATTTTAGCTCTTCAAGACTTACAAAGCAGTACACACCAATGAATGGAACAGCAAATGTGCCTTTCTTATTTTCAAAGCATTGTGGTGGCTACAAGTGACTCGGGCTTTGTTGTTTCTTTCTTCTTCTCCTCTTATTGCCAGACTCCCAAGGCACCTTCAGACACAAGAGCGTATTTCAGCATCCTAGCTCCTTGCAGGATTCTGATATCGTTTACGTTGTATCACCAGAACGAATGACATCCTGTAAATTGAGTTAACGCTATTGATTGTGATGTTACTGCCAGGAATATCAAACATGCATAACCCCATTGCAGATGTAGTTCAGATATTCTGAGCTGGTGCCAGATGGTCTGCTCCTCGTCTTGCTACTATTTTCTTTGTGCTACAGCTGGAGGATAATCCGTTATTGTTATAAATACAGACATGGACACAGCAAATAACGTCCTTGTGGCTGTGCCACACTGAGGCTTTTAACAGGGCAGCTGCAAATTTGGTATCAGGGACCAGCTGAAAAGCATGATGTGAAGAACAGACAATGCAGATAGCATGGAGGAGGGGGCTGGTTTTTGATGCTGTGAGCAAAAGCCAGGCTGTAGAAGAGATTGCTTTGCAAGCACAGGTTGGGTGCAGAGCAGTGCAACTGCTCCACCGACAGATGAAATCTTAGATGGGTGCAAAAAGATCTGGTCTTGTGGGCCAGATCTTCAGATGTGCTCACTACCCTTGGAGAAGATTCCAAAGCCTCGCCTAACTTCTTCTCTACTATATGTCTCCTTAGGGAGTTCAAGGTTCCTGCCATTGCTGCTCAGCCAGCCTGGCTCATTCCTGGGACTCTTCCACTTGGCAAAAAGCCCTGTGGTGGAGGACAACTTGAAAGCGATCCGTGGGGTCCTGAATTTCAGAGCCTTCTGAAACGCAACGCCAACCTGACGCAGCTCTTCCTGTACCGCTCGTGCAGGGACTAAAGGTTGAGAAAACGACTTCCATGCTAACCACGGAGCCTTCTTGTTAAATACAGGATGTTTTCAAATCAAGAGATGGTGCCTAGAATGAATGGCATCCGAGGCAGTCCTTGGAGTCCAACAGTGAGGCGCTGTGGTTTTCCACATGGCAAATAGCTGCTTCCAGCCCCTTTTGGTCAAGGAGTCTTGGGAGTAGAGGGTGTGAAGATAGGCTGCTGGGACTCTCTTGGCGCAGCCACAGACCCTTGTGAAACACGAGCCATGTTCTCCTGAAAATTGTGATGGTTCTAAATAGGAGCTGCTAGGCTCGGAGCCCTGCTGTAAATCAGCCTCAAACTGGGGAAAACAAGTTGCTTTCTTCAATCCTGCTCTCATTTATTCATTTCTGCCTTTCAAGAGGGCAGGCAGCACATGTGCATGCCACTTGTTTTAGATATAGAACCATAGATGGTTTGTATTTGAAATCAGTGCAACAACCCTCCCCTGGTTTTAATTTACATACTCCTGGGCTGACATTTGAAATTCCTGGCAGAAATGTGGCCACACGAAGAAATGACTAGACCCAGACAGTATTGAATGATATATGAGATGGTTGTTCTGCCTCTGCCTAGAATCTATCCATCAATTAGCATTCAAAGTCTCTTTTGAAATACAGTCAGACTTTTATTACAGTAATACAAATTTGTGGTCTAGCACATGCCTTTTCATTTAAAAAGCAGCCAACATCTGAATAAACAAAATCACTGCACTCCAAGAAGATGCCAGAAAGCCCTGCAGGCTGCTTCCCTCGGGCTTAGGATAGGCTCCTGGAGTTTCCTGCAACATAACCTACAGACCTCAGCTGAGCTTTGAACAAGTGCAACCTGATGATCTGGCCCCTTCGTTGCAGCAGTGCCTTGGCTTTCCAGATTCATTTTGCAGTCACCAAAAATGAAGTTATTCAACCCATCCCACAGAAAATATGAAATATAGTGGGGTTTACTGGGCTTGGTTCTTATGTGCAGAGTTGAGGGGCGGTGGGACTTTTACGTGAGCATGTTGCTGGTCCCAGAGTTCTCTAAGTCAATTTTTTGGTTGGGAAAAAGGCGAGAGGAAGAAAAGCAACTCATCAGGCTCGTGTTTTGTCTCCCGTAGGTGATTAAAGCCGTGGAGGAAGGCTATCGCCTGCCAAGTCCCATGGACTGCCCTGCTGCTCTCTACCAGCTAATGCTCGACTGCTGGCAGAAGGACCGCAACAGCAGGCCCAAGTTTGACGAAATTGTCAGCATGTTGGACAAGCTCATCCGTAACCCAAGCAGCTTGAAGACGTTGGTTAATGCATCAAGCAGGTACAAACTCGGGCCAGAGCCATTTCTCAGGGCGAGATCCTTGTCTGAATACCTGCCCCTGGGGTTGAGTTGCCACTCATTATTTAGCCTGCCCGCATACGTGGGTGGATGTTCCTCCAGCTTCATTATGTCCAGGCGAGGTTTCCCAAATCAACTCTTTCTGTCAAAATTGGCAGGCAGTTGGTTAATGCATCAAGCAGGTACAAACTCGGGCCAGAGCCATTTCTCAGGGCGAGATCCTTGTCTGAATACCTGCCCCTGGGGTTGAGTTGCCACTCATTATTTAGCCTGCCCGCATACGTGGGTGGATGTTCCTCCAGCTTCATTATGTCCAGGCGAGGTTTCCCAAATCAACTCTTTCTGTCAAAATTGGCAGGCAGGTGAGCAGTTCAGTTACTCTATAAATGCAGGGCTGCTGCCACAAAGAAAATTACTGTGGCCTGTTTTTCAGAAATGGGAGTTTCAGCAGTATTTATAGGTCTATGATAAAGCTACCTGTGCTCTACCCCAAGGTTAGAGAGGGCAAGAGTTGAGTGCATGGAGCAGACAGGGAATGCTGCTCAAATTACCTGCCTGTTGACTTTATCTTGGTAATAGGAATGAAGAACGTCTCTTGGGGAAACTCTTAGCATGTGCAAAGCTCACAGATGTCCCAAGTGCCTCCTCCCACAAGTATTCCTAGGCGTGCTAGCTGCCACTGCCACTTCTGACATCCTTGGTAATCACGAGAGGATCTCTGTGGTTCCCAAAGAGCTGTACACAAACCATTTGCTAAAACCACATTAAGTGAATAGAGCAGCCGGTGTGCAATTAAACGTGAATCTGAATAGCTGCACAGCTACAAGTAAGGTAAATACAGTCAAGAAATAAAGCTGCACTTGAGAAAAAAGAGATAAATATTTTTTAGTGAGTTTTAGTATCAGAGTCTCCACCATACTGGAGTCTTGGAGAGGCTTTTTCTTTTTTTCGCTGTAAGCACACAAGCATTACTTCTGAGCTATCTGTGTTGCTAATCACTCGGTCCCTTGCAAGGTCATGAAGGAGTGATGTGTATAAATCATCGCTGCTGCACTGATAGCAGCGGAGTTCCCCTGATTAACACTGGAAGAGGCCCTTCAGAAAAGCTTAGTCTCATAGGAGGAATAAAAAGAAATGTCGTTTTCCTTGGACAGGAATAAGAGGGATATAAGATCATAGAATCATAGAATGGTTCGGGTTGGAAGGGACCTCAAAGATCATCTCGTTCCAACCCCCCTGCCATGGGCAGGGACACCCTCCACTACACCAGGTTGCCCAAAGCCTCATCCAACCTGGCCTTGAACACTTCCAGGGATGGGGCATCTACAACTTCTCTGGGCAACCTGTGCCAGTGCCTCACCACCCTCAGAGTGAAAAATTTCTTCCTTAGATCTAATCTAAATCTGCCCTCTTTCAGTTTAAAGCCATTGCCCCTTGTCCTGTCACTACAGGCCCTTGTAAAAAGTCCCTCTCCAGCTTTCCTGTAGGCCTCCTTTAAGTATTGGAAAGCTACAATAAGATCACCCCGGAGCCTTCTCTTCTCCAGGCTGAACAGCCCCAACTCTCTCAGCCTGTCTCCATAGCAGAGGTGCTCCAGCCCTCAGATCATCTTCATGGCCTCCTCTGGACCCACTCCAGCAGCTCCGTGTCCTTCTTGTGTTGGGGTCTCCAGAGCTCAAAGATGAAGTTAGATTGGTGTGGACCAAAGCAGATGTACTGTTTTGAGCTTAGACCCATCTGTCTCTGCACCTTCCACGTGAGTCTTACACAGCTGCAGGTGGCCCTGGACCTCCCTGCCTGTTGCAGCCGGACCTCACATCCCCATGCTGGCATGTCCTCACACGTGGCATCTCATGCACTGGAAGAGAAGAAACATAAAATCTCAGTTAATTTTTAAATACAAGCTAGATCCGATTCCTTGGGCTATTTTACATGCATCGTTTACCATCTGAAGAAGAAATTGCTCTTATTAGCAATTGGATGTAATGTCAGTCCCAGCAAACCTGCAGGAAAAGGTTTATGACAGCATAAAATATGTCACGTTTCTCTTTTCTTTTCAGTTCAGTCATTTTCCAGGCCTGTTATGTGGTGGTTCATGCACTCTTTTATACCAAACTGTTATACCAGAAAAGAGGAAAACGGGCAGCAAACCATTTCCTTGAGCTGCTAAGCACTTTGCTGATGTTTTATTCCATGAACAGGTTCATGCAATTCCAAAGGCCTCCTTTTCAGAGCTGCTGCGGGTGTCTTCCCTGTGGATGGAGCACCTGAACAGCCAGGCTTTGGGACTGTGTTTCTACAATCATGGATTGCCATGCCCAGACCATAGTAATTTCAAATGAATCATAATTTCAACATACAGCAGCTGTGTAAAGGATTTTTTTATATATGTAATGTATTCTTTATGGAAATTCTCATTAATGCAAATAAGGGAGGAAGTCACTCTCAACATTACAGCGTGTGCATATCAGTAGGTACCTCCTGACATTAGTGATGAAAATCCACTTCTCGTTATGATTACTTAGGAGTTTTGAATTCCTCATGTGTATAAAATGTTATGGGAAGCCATTATGTTCTCAGTACTGCAAGTATTCACATTTTATTGGACCCTTCAGCATTGCTATTAAATAAACAAATAATACTAATGTGCTCATAAAATATATGAAGATTCCTGAAGTGCTATAATAATATAATATCCCAGCTCTCCTTCCAGTTGAAAGTCTTTTAAGTGTAATTCTCACCGTCAGAGGCTGACCCAGAAAACGTTTTTCTACCTTTGGGTAATAATCTTTATGCAAGGCTTCTGTTAGCTGTATGTCCTGGTTTACAAAGCAGGGGACAAATCTAGTTCCTTTCATGGCTGACCTTGGACCCTTTGCTCTCTGCGCATCATTAGTGGGGTGGTGGCCCCGTACGTGGCACGGGTGGCTTGTGCCAGGTACTGTATCGGTGTTTCTGCCGCGGGGAAGGGTTATTAGAATCATAGAATCATAGAATGGTTAGGGCTGGAAGGGACCTTCAAAGGTCATCTAGTCCAACCCCCCTGCAAGGAACAGGGATATCTCCAACTAGATCAGGTTGCTCAGGGCCTCGTCCAACCTGGCCTTGAACGTCTCCAGGGATGGAGCATCCACCACCTCTCTGGGCAACCTGTTCCAGTGTTCTACAACTCTCAAATGCCTGAATTGCTTCTTCCGTGCGTGGCATAACCGAGCAGGTAGCGATTGCTGCGGCGAGGTCTTGAGCGAGGGTCTGCCTCTGGTTTCAGGGCTGGAGCGTGGCTGGAGCATTGCTGCTCTCTGCAGGGCTCGCCGGATGGATGCTGCCCGCATCCGAAATCCCCGCCCGGC